ACTTACACGTCTGGATCATTCCTTGCTCTACGTTCCCTATCATTCCCTTTCCCTCCTACATACACATGACCACTGCTGTCATTATATCTAAACAAGTTGCTGATATCACCATCATCACAAAGATCAATCAATGTACTCTCATCAAATTTAACTTTATACTTAATCTCATATCCACCACCATCATTGCCTATCCACTGTGAAATTATTCCACACAACTCGTCTACTGTTATCCATTCTTTTATACTGGTTACCCTTACACTCCCTCCAATATATTTAACTATCCCTTCACCATTTGCTTCAAAATGTCCACCAATGTGCACGTAACAGAACAACTCCTTCCCACAGCTTCTTCGGTTATTGAAATCCATTTTTCATACTAATCTGCAGCAAAAATTTACGTTTAGTCAGTACGTTAGCTTCACTAATAAATATTTACTCATTTATTCCATCGACTCAACCATTTACATACCAAATTAAAAACCCGTGACCTCCTGTCTTCCCAACATCACTTTAGGCCTTCACAACTTCACTTTAGGGCTTCACAACTTCACTTTAGGGCTTGACGACTTCAACACCGAAAATCATGGTATCGTCATTCCCTCATTCCGCGGCAACACCTCAACGTTCACGGTCAAACTAACGGCCATTATCCAACCTACACTCTGCCAAACCACTACACTCTGACCCCTTCCCCATCGCAACCAGCACCGTGCACTACAAATGACAGATGACCGTTCAGACTACGAAAACAAAAATATCCCACCTCCAACTAACCACAACCTCCTACATTGTCATATCTTTCATCTTCAACTACACCTCCCATTCCCTCCCTTCCTCCAGCCTACTCACCCACACAGCAGAGATGAAGATGGAGAATGTGACGATGTGTAACTCTTACAGGGAACAATACAAGAAGGGTTTACTCAGTAAGTTAGTCGCATTATTGCCAATGTTCGAAGATCCCAATATCGCACATATTCGTTCGGCTCATCCTACTCCGCCAGCTCTCCCGCCACCCATTAAAATCCTGGTCTCTGCCTTCATTAACAGTCATGATGAGTGAGGGGCATTTCAGCCATTTTCCTCACATTTCATAATTGCAAATTGGGACCGGGTCCTCTGCAGCAATTTCTCAAATTGGGGGTCCCTGATTGCCATTTTATATATTGGGGGGTCTTTATTTGCAATTTCCCCTAACTTTTTCATCTTTGCATAGATATAGAGAACCTAACTTTTGATTTGCATACTGACAAACTACAACTTTCATAAGTTCCATCTTAATTAGTCCTAATTAACCTACTTTGATTTAATTTGCATGCGAGATATCGTATGAATTCTATCACACATAGGATAATTAAGATCTAGGATAAAGAGCAGTTTAAATATTTTCTGTAGCTGACCACATAGCTATTTAATTATTGTGGTTAATTTGTTTAGTTTAGCTCAGCCAATTTAGTTCAAGTCAAAGTTTTCGCTATATATTATAACTTGTTTTCAAATTAAAAAATAACAAGCCTGGATTTTGCCAGCTGTACTATTAAATTGTGTTCTATTCTATCTATGACATTGCTATTAGATTTTTTTTTTTTTGAAAAAAAAATTACCTCACATTCATTCTAGGAACAATAATCCCGATTCAAACTTACGGCCTTTCTTTGATGCCATTAAAGCTTTAGCGTACAGTATCATTATTTAGGAACAGGGGATAAATGGATTCAACTTGAAACTACAGGAACGAAAATGAGAATTTAGTTAGGATGATTAATTTTTCCTATTTTATTTTGTTAGATTTTCTTGGGACCAAGCACATGAAGTTGTGGGACCAAGTTTATCCTATCTGGACCGTCCACGTAACATCTAGATGGTTGAGATTTTCTTCTTTTTTTACTTTTTAAGATAATTATTTTGATACATATAAAATCTAAAATAAAAATGACTTCTTAACTATCATTTTTTAAAAAAATAATTTTTGTTATATAGAAATAATTAATTAAAAAATTAAATTTAGACCATTCAAATTAGATTAGATGATTTAAAAGAAATGAGTTTTGAGAGCCCAAACTGATCCTGAATTCCAAGTTGTGATGGCTTGATGGCGATAGAACGTAAAACAATTAATAATAGTACTTCTAAATAAGAATAACATACAACATGATATGTGCGTCAAGTCGAACGGGGTTCATTTAGGGGCGTACTTGCCGGAAATGGAATGGGTTAAAAAAGAAAACTAATTAAAATGTAGAGAGAAGAGATATGTCAGCAGTGTCCTTACCGGGGAGGGGAAATGTTATACTGGTTTTGATCCTTAACGCTACTATAAGATTTATTTTGTAGAGCGGTTAGCACTATAAAGTAATTTTATATCAGTTAAGGATAGGAGGTAGTATCATTAGAAAATCAATAATTACATGCTTTCAGTGTGTTTAGTTTGGGAAACCAATTACGTGCTTCTAGAAAAAATCATGATTTTGATTATTTATAGTATGAAACCGAATTCAAGGAAACAACAAGAGCACTTTCTTTTTTAGCCAACAACAAGAGTACTTTGGTATGTTCAATATTTGAGTGATAACCGTTTACATGATACTACCTCTAGTGATTAATAAAAAATTTGTTGGGAATTAAATTTAATCTTAAATATAAAACTTATTTCTACTTTGTTCCTCAAATTTGTAATTCATTATCTAAATTATTCCTACTGATTACACATGTCAAGGGTTTTTTTTAAGAGTAGTCATAATTAAAAGTACTTTAAAAAATCAACTCATATTTATTATAAATAACTAACTTAATAAATTTTTTAATTTACTCAAATTAGTTGAATAACTATTATATTAATCACAGGAATAGTAATATATAAGAAGTGCTCAACATGCACACATGCGCATGTCTACACATATATATACACCATACATTAGTGGTTTTGACTGAGTCAGACATATGGAGCTCACAAATTACAACCAACCACTCAATTTACTTTCGCAGTACAATAATGCCATGCCATTATCAGTTAGGACATTCTACGGCATTTTCTATGTACACAGAAATTAATGCTAGCCATGTGCTCAATAAATAAATATAAAAGATCAAGTCTCATATATATATATATAGTATTTTTTTTGTCTTGAATATAACATTTATTTATAGTGTAAATTATATTATAAAATAAGTCTTATATTTATAATTGGAAAAGTATTATATATTTTTTATCTATTTATCATTTTATCGACAATGCATGCATGGAGCTAGACTTTTGACAAAGTTATTTGATCATTTGGACTCTTTGCTTAGCCTGAGTGAAACAAAATATAGAGGAAAATTAAAAAAAAATCGTACATCGTCATAATAGGGTTAATTAATCACAACTTTTTTCGGCATGATCGAATTCCATGAAAGATCTGTAACTTTATATGTTAATACAGCAAGGTTAAAATACACACACACACAAAGTCCAAATTGTTTTAAGGACTTCAAGGTTTTTTTGTGGCATTTTATTTTGTGGTATAATCAGCAATATCAGAAATATCCAAGCAAGCTACCAAATGAATATCACGCATGATAATTATATATTTTGTTCTTTGAATTGTGCGGTAATTTGTAGGGCGGCGGCTGGGACGCACAGCCCTACGATGCTAATGGTAGGATATTAATTATTTTGCATTTTATGTGCAGAATAAATTGATGCTATGAGCTTAAAAAATTAAATGTAAATACCAATATCAATCAATATATTCCTCTAATCCTGTTTGCAGGGGCCGGATCTTTTTGTCCTTAAGATAAGTTACTTTGTTAAATTTATCAGATATGATTATATAATTTTTTTAATTTATTATTGGGCGAATTGTTATGAAGTCCTAAATAAGTAACATAATTACTAGAAAGTTTCAATGATAACAGAGCAGCTTGTAATGAAAAGTTTTAAAATAGTAAATGACAATTGTTCACTTGTTATTAAGATATACTACTTTTTTTCCATTGGATCTCATTCTAATTCTCCTTCTATTATTTTATAGACTGTTATTTTTTTGAAAATATATATTAAATCGGGATAAAATTAAAAGCTATTAAATTTTGAGTTTGAGTTAATGAGGTTTAACATTTTGCTTGTCCCAGTAAAATATATTAAAAATACCTTATAAATAAAATCACATGGGTAAAATAAAAAAATTATAGTAAGCAATTAACATTAGAAAAATACTTAGGTTAAGTTTCTTATATCTATCATGTCAAATTCTCCAATCATACATGACCATGATCAAAATCAAATTGTCTTTTTTGGAGAAACCTTTGTTTATTTGTTTAAGAGTATATAATATTGGGTAGAATGTGATTCTTCTTCTTCTTGTTTTTTTTAATGATTCGTCTCTAAATCGAGTCACTTTGAAAATGTAGATTCAAAAAGAACTTCTTGTTTTTTTATTCGTCTTATTGTATATTCAAAATGTATATTATTATTTTATTTTAATAAAAACTAATAAATTTAATAAAATCTAAAATCTAAAAAAGAAGAGTTTTTCAATTAGTTATATATTTATAATTATAATAATTGTATATTTTATTTTTATGTGTCCTAACTTATTTTATGCAAGTTTATAATTAAATACTATTAAATGATAATATTTCAAAAATAATATATATGGTGATGTGTTATTGGAGAACCTGACATAATAAATATAGAAAATATTATATTACCTCCAGTCCTAATTATAAAACCTCATTTATAATAAGACCAGACGAGTAGTTAAGATATACATAATACAAATGCCAACCTAGTTTATAAAAGGTGTAGACTCTAGAGTCTGGCAACATGGGGAGAAACGTGTGGAGCGAGCCAGTTGTGTGGGAATTATTGTTTTTCTTTTAAAATAAAATCAGGAAATTACGCAGTATAAGATTATCATTTGCTATAAAAGGACTAATCCCTCCCAGCTTGGATGCACAAAACGAATATATACATTCACATATATAAATGGCCCTGAAAATGAATGTAATGTTTCTGATCATGGGATTTGCCATCGCAAGCCTCTTCGCGGCTGCATCAGCCGCTTCTGGAACTGCCACCTTTTACACTGAATACGTTCGTGAGTATATATTCACTTTTCATCACCACCATCATCATCATCGTAAATATGAATAAGTCAGTCTCATATATAGTTCCATATATATATATATATATATATTTTGCAGCTTCTGCATGCTATGGATACCAAGACCAGGGAACTATGATAGCAGCAGCGGGCGACTCCCTCTGGAACAATGGAGCCGCCTGCGGAAAAAGGTACAGAATCAGGTGCACCGGTGGTACCAATCAGGGCGTGGCTCAGCCTTGCCGGAGCGGAACCGTCACCGTCAAGATTGTCGATCGCTGCCCTTCGCCGGGATGCCAAGCAACCATCGATCTCTCTCGCCAAGCTTTTGCTGCTATTGCTGACCCTGATGCAGGCAAAATCCGCATCGAATACACCCAGTAATATAATTAATTAAAACTCTCTTCTATTTCAACGTACATCACTTTTAATTGATAATTTCTTTTATTACCTTTTCATGTCTTCGTTTGGTTTTCAGGGCCTGAAGCTTCTGGGAGAGGATGCAAATCTAGGAATATAATATGTGGTGTTAATGGTGAATAACGCGTACATCAGATGATCGATGTACGTCATGGAAAATGCACTTTTCTTTCATGAATTATGTGTCAAGTGTTTGTGTCTTCTACATTTCAATAAAACATTTAGATCTTTATAACTGCTAATTGCCCACATATTAGAACTCTTTCGACTCAAACTAACCAAATTTAATTTCTGTCTCTAGTGGCTTGAAGCAAAGCAATCATGAACAATGAAAGTGAAGCAGTAGTAAGTTATAAAATACAGGGGCTCAAAAATATTTGTGTTTAAATATGTGTAAGAAAAGGAAATGGGACTTTTGCCGGTAAAATATAAAAGGAATAATGAGACCATAAGATGAAGAGAATATTGCATTAGTGGATACATTTCATATAAACGAGATATTTAAAACGCACAGAAAGAATATAAGAGGATTCAAGTTGGATGCCTAGAAAATGATCAAGCACAATAATAACCAAATCTAAACGACCAGCAATTTCTGCTGCAATTCTTAGCGTGATTGGTTGAGTGGCAGCATTTGCAATTTGCATACTATAGAAGTGAAGAAGACGAAGCTCAGCATGTATAATAATATACTTATCCAACAGTGTTTATAATGCATTTCCAACATGTTTTATGAGAATAACCTTAAATCTAATTAAGTTTGTTTTAAAATTTAAACATTTTAGAACTTTATTTCTATTTAACATATTTGTCAATAAAATAACAGTTTACAGAATAATAGATTAGAGGCAAAATTATAAATTCAATAATGAATTTAAATTAGTGATTTTTATTTTTTTTACAATAAAAAATAATGAAGTGATTTATATTGAGGGGAAAAAAGTACTACACCTCTATCTTACAAATAAAATCAGAGGGCAATGGTGAGCACATTCCATGCTCATTAAAAAGATAAGCATGGAGTGCTCATCTTAATCTGAACCATTCAAATTAATTTTAGATGGCCCAGATTTAATTTAAATAGTTTTGATAGAACATATTGACGTCATGCAATCCATGTAACTAATCCCACATAGTAAAATAAGGCTTATAGTTGTTGTTCATTATATTAATTGATATAAAATTTAAGATCAAGCTAATCTTATAACTGACACTTTTTTAAAAAACAAATTTATTATTGAAAAAATTGAAAATTAAAATTTGAAATCTACACTGGTCAAATCCTATTTAAATGGTCAAGATTTTATTATAGTGATGAGCACCAGACAAGGATTGAGGATAATGACTTTAAACTTGGAATTACAATCCATTTGAATTATCGGTGATGAGATGAAATTGATTTTGAATATATGAGTACATCAATAAATTCTAAAAAGAATAGATTTTAAGCAGAAGCTGTGTGGATGGCTTGTAAGTACAAAATCATGATTTTTGGTTGAAAATAGATTTTAAGATCTTAAACAGCCCCTTTCAGTTTCAGCCAAGTGCCTGACTGCCCGTGTTGAGTGGGAAAATAAAATTAAAAAAAAAAGAGAGAGAGAGAGAGAGGAAGGAATATTCAGGACTGTTTTTTTGGGCTTATGAAGATTAAACTCATAAAGGCAAATTACACCCAAGCCCAATGTTTTATCGGACCAGTACTCTATTTTGCCACCCAAATTACAATCCATAGTCCATGCGAAGCACGCGCTTCCGTCTTCTTACCTTCATGCGGGTTTATTTGACCCGAACCATCATACGCACAGTATGTATTGATTGTAATTTGGATTAGTACCCAGCTAGTCTCACATCATCTTGCGGTTTTTATTTAAGCATCCATTAATACAATGAACAGTGATTTGGTTCATTATCTATTAACAAAGTCAACTGTACCGTGGTTAATGAAATGCGGATTTGTAAAATTTAAAAAGGAAAATTTGGAAAAATCCCTCATTACAAATTTTATTAGTGATAATGACTTAAATTAGAGTATCGAATAGGCACAAAATTCACAGAATATTTTTACTTCTGTGTATAAAAATTTATTAGGTCATATATTTTCGTTAATTTTTAATAGAAGGCTTTTCCCAAATTTCTCAAAATTAGAACTATTATCTCTAATTTAAATATATAATCTATTTTTTAATGGAATTTGAATTATAAAGTTGCGGAGGCACTGCTTGTTTTGGTCTGTGTAAGATAATTAAAGGATAACAGTTACCTTATTTAGTATTTTGGCAATGATAATCGGTGAACATGGAAGTACATATGGGCTTTATCTAAGGGAGAATTACAATGAGGTCCCATGCGAGGAAAAAAATTACAAAACAAGTATTATAGGTTGTTATTCTTTACTCTAGCTAGAACTTGTCATTACAGGCTATTCATGTTGTTATTGGACCTTTTAGTAGTTATTTCTTTTACATAGAACTTGATTTTAATTCTCCCTTTATCTAATTGCCAGCTGCAATGCAAATTTGCGCTTATTATCATTATGAAACTCATAAATGCAAAGTCATTTCTTAAATGGTGGCCAAAAAAAAAGTTCATTTCTTAAATATGATATATTAAATACTACCTCCAGTTTTTAATATAAAGTATTCATTTGATTTCTATTAGTTCCAAATATTAGACACTAATCTATTTTGTCTCTTATATTTATCTTTTTTTTTTAAGATAGCCTTTGTAATAATGAGAGTTCTGGCACAAATCACTAACTTAATTAATTTTTTTAATTTATTTAAATTAGTTAACTAGCTCTTATATTAAAGACATGAGGTAATATGATATATCCAAACCCAATATTTAATTTGGAAAAATCTCTCATTAAAATTTATTAGTGAGAATGACTTAAATCAAAATATTGATACTTTTTTGTGTACAAAATCTACAGGAACTTTTTATACATAAAAATTTATCATTTCTCTTTGTATCAATAAAACTTTTAATGAGGGATTTTTCTTCATTTCTCTAATCAGAATACTTTAGAGATATCAACTACTTGTTTGGTCTGTGCAAGAATTAAAACATTCACTTACGGATAATAGTTACTTGTTGAGTTATTTTGGTAATGATAATCGGGTGAACAAGGAAGCATATACGGGCATTATATATTGCCTGGACCAATGCTACTTTGGATCTTATTATATTGTGAAACTCAAATGCAAATTCATTTTTTAAATAATATTTCTTAGGTCTTTAATATAAGACCTGATTATAGAGTTAATTTTAGTCTTAAATATAAGACATATTTATCATATTTATTAATTTTTTTCAAATCATCCTATTAATACTCCCTCAACTATAATTGAGTAGTAGAGACGAAGAGAGAGAATATTAAGAAAGATTATTAGAATATTTTTTTAAAAAATGTCATATTTATTATTTTTTTTAGTTTACATAACTTTTTTTATTTTAATCAAATAGTTAAAAAAATTTTACATTGAGGACTAGAGAAGTATGATGCATCCAAACCAATATTTTATTTTATTTGATTATTATTACGTTTTGTTGCTCAAATTACAATACAAACATATTAGCGCACTCTTAAAGTCTTCATGGATTTGTTTGACCCGCATCACCATACCCTTATTGTTGACTCAATCAATGAATTAAGTGGATAAGTTCAAGACCAGAGGCCCCTATAGTAATAAAGACAGACATAATATATTTTATGATCTTATAATATCATATAGTCCCTTTTCTACCAGGAAATTTACTCCAATACTCATTTTCTATTAATTGCCATCTTTCATATGAAACCTTATTCAATGAATTTCCATAGATTTTGCGTCAAAGCTTCGGACTCTTATTGCGTAAATTGGGCTCGTATATATGCGCACCCAGAGCATATATATCTTCCGAAGTTTAGTTTTTCAGTTGGAATAAAAAATCAACGTACTTTCCCCAAGGTGACTTGAAGAATCAGGCGCGACGCATACGAATTATTTTGGCATGTTAAGCTTTTTGGGTGGCAAAGTCATAAATTAAACTAGGTGCATAGATACTTTTTTAAAAAAACCAGCTAGTCCCTTGGACTGAGTCACGTTTTCATGCACATCCCTGAACCTTCGTTCTATATACAAAATAAGCAAAATGAACCCCTTTTTAGAAAAAAGGCCAAGGCAAGAAGCATGAAGAGAAAGACCAATCAAGACAAAGTATATTCGTAATTAATATCTATAATATTAAATGTCATTTTGTAGTTTTGTTGTGTGAAGAAAAACATGATCGTCACAGAATGCGATATATGTGAGCCGAGTCGTGAGATAATGAATTCTTCGCCGTGATTACACTTTTGTCAAATATATATATAATATATATATTTTACATCTATATATGAAGATATGATCGAAAATATAGAAAATTCGCTTTTCATGTTTGTATCTAATCAATAATTTGATTACTATATATTTCTCAAATTGTTACATCAGAACCACCACGTTAAATACCACATGTTGCATCAGGACGTAGACGCTTTAGTGAAAATTATCGTTACATCTATCCACTATCTATCTATCTGTGTACACTTAATGATCTGCTCAGCCCGTAATTAAGGTCGGGTAATTAATGCAGCAAAGTCCTTCAGTTACTTGTGCAAACTGGAGACGTACCGACCATAAACTAAATCAAATAATGAATTGAAGTGCCAGATTTTTCTATTGGAAAAATCAAAGATATGGCGTCATGGCTCTAGATATAGAGTCTGCCGGCCCGCCGGAGCCGGAGAAACGTGTGAAGACCGTCACCTCTCTCTGCAAAATGTAAATAATTTAAGGCTAAAATTTTGCTATAAAAGGAGCAAATATCACGCACACAAAACATCTAATTATATTCGCACTTCCAACAAATTCTAGTGATCCGACAAATGGCTCTAACGTGAAAGCAGTGTAGTGATGGGGTTGCCATCTTGAGCCTTTCTCAGTGGCTTCTGCTATTTCTGGAACTGCCACCTTTTACACTGTCTATGTTCGTAAGTATCCCATTTCTCTACTGCGTATATATGCTTTACTTATTATTCAAGCTTCTTCGATTGCTTCCATATTAGTCTCATCAGTAAACTATATAAGATCCCATTATATATATGGTTCCTTGGAAAGCACTACACTTGT